CTTTTTTTCAAACGTTTTTCAAAGCATTTAATAGCTACAGTTGCATCAATTGTATCAATTGCATTATTTCACAAGCTTTCAGATCAGAATACAATGTTTAGAACAAAAATTTCTTTTCTTTATATACCAAGGCTTTGTTTGCTGCAGTCAGTTTCCACTCACTCTACTGCCGCCGGGAACCAGAACCAGGCTGTGGGCTGGAAAACAGACGCCTTAGCCACTGCACCACTTGGGACCGCGGCAAACCGAGAAAAAAAGCCGTTTTGGCTTTGGGGATCACTGCTGCAGTCAGTTTCCACTTACTCTACCGCCACCGGGATCGAACCAGAGGCCTGATTGTGGGCTGTGGGCTGGAAAACAGACGCCTTAGCCACTACACCAATTGGGACCGCGGCACGCCGAGAAAAAAGCCCTTTTGACTTTGAGCGTCACTGCTGCAGTCAGTTTCCACTTACTCTACCGCCACCGGGATCGAACCAGAAGCCTGGTTGTGGGCTGTGGGCTGGAAAACAGACGCCTTAGCCACTACACCAATTGGGACCGCGGCACGCCGAGAAAAAAAGCCCTTTTGACTTCTCTGCTGCAGCTTACCGCCGCCAGGATCGAACCAGAACCAGGCTATGAGCTGGAAAACAGACGCCTTAGCCACTATACCATTTGGGACCGCGGTAAGCCGAGAGAAAAGGCCGTTTTCCGGTCGTCGGTCGTCGTTTTGGTTAAAGCGTTTATCTACGAAACGAACAGCGAACAGGTCTCTGGTTCGAACCCCGGAACGAACAATTTTTTTTGAAAAACTTTTTTTTACAAGCGAAATCATTTGTGTCTTGAAACAGGAGTGAAAAGTACTTTGTTTTCCAGCTGAAAGCTGTTTTCCAGCAAATCCAGCTAAAATCCATTAGATTTTCATAGTCAAACTTTCATAATCAAAAGAAAACAAGGGTTTTCTTTGTAAACTTTGTTTTGGGACTTCTTTTGTTGGATCTTTAATTAGGATCTTGGAGAAAATGAGTCATAGGATAAGTTCTTTGGAGGTAATTTGTTTTTCTAGAATGTCATTTTACTCAAAAACATCTTTTCTTCACTTTTTTTCTTTCATTTTACCCACCTTTCTTCTCGTTTTACAAATGCTCCCGACAGCGCAGAGGAAAATCGCAAAACAGCAGATAATCAACGGGGCAACGACGCTAAACTTTAATTATATGCTTTTTCGAGAAAATAATATGTTTTTGCTACTTTAGATTTACTTAAACAAGTACTAGAATTTTAGTTTACTGAAAAATCAGCAATTCGTTGTTGCTGCAATAGTTAAAAGTAAACCACTACAGAAAAACACAAATTCCACTCAATTCTTGTCTTGTCTGAATAGCTTTTCTTCCGCTTTCTACCCCAAATATGCTTATATATTGTTAAAATGAGCTCATTCCGGTCAGTGTTCAAGTTTGTTGCTGCTTTTGAACAAGCCGTCGTTCAATCTGACTTTTGTTCTAAATTAGCATCGAGTTAAGCTACGAGACATAGTGCATCGGATTCTACGCAAAATTCTGAGCAAAATCCATTTTTAAAATCAATTCAATCGGCCCTTTAATCCGTGTAAAAACACGCTTGAAAATTGGAAGCGCGAAAAATTTACTCGATGATGTAAGCCTTCCGTCATCGGTTATGACAGATGACCGGGTGGCCTAGTGGATAGCGTGCTCGATTTCGGAACTATTCCTCGCGGGTTCGGATCCTCTTGCAACCAGGATTCTCGCTTTTTTTGCAAAATAACAACAAACAGCAAACAATATTCAAATCTTGTTAAAGCCAAATACAAATAACAAATAAAGCGTGGTTGATTAAACGAATTTCGTTTAATTTGTAAAAGAAAGTGCAAAAGACTGAGAGTCTTGGTTTAAACACAAATTTATTCGTTTTTTTGGTTTAACTCGTGTTTCACGCGATTTAAATCCACTTTTTGGTACAATTAGAAAGTAAATTACGCATCCAACTCACTTACTGAGCAAAAAGTGGTTCTTCGACTAAAGAACTTAAGATCAAACCTCGATTTAACGCTTCTCAAATCGGGATCGAGATCTCCATCGATCTCCATCGTTAAATCGAGTAAACCGTTGAATCGAGAGTCGTTAAATCGAGATTTGACTGTACTATTGAACCAAATAACTACTGGAACAAATGTGAATTGTTCACAGGCAGTTAAACTGTAAAGATTAAACAGTTATTGTCAAATGAAGTAGTTTTATCCCGTTAAACTGTTCGTAAACTGTTTAAAGAAGGATCTTTTTTTTGCATTAAGACAAAGATTTTGGTATAATTTTGTATAGAAAGCATTGCCCAATAGTAATCCTTTCAAATCCTTTCAAATCCTTTCAAATCCTTTCAAAACCTTTCAAAACCTTTAAATCCCTTCAATTTCTCTCCTTGAAAACGAGTACCTAAGCAAGAAAAGGACATCGGTGTTCTCGGTGAACGTGCTCAGAAGTGAGGTCCCATTCTCGGGCATCGATTAAACATCAGAAACTGGAAATTGATTGAGAAATTGTATGCCTTAAGAAAAAAAGCTAAAAACAATGATAAAACAATGGTAAAACAAGGGTAAAACAAGAGAAACAATACATGAATCGTTGCAAAGAGAAATCAAGTGACTTCAGAGCTTTAAAATCCAAACAAATCCCTGTCATTCTAAGCAAAAGCAAAGCAAGCAAAGGCGCATTTTTTTAGAGATTCAAATCCCTCTTCATTTAATAGAAGAAAAATGGGAAAGGAAATTCAAATTCCATCCGGAAATCAGTAATTCTTGAGGAAAAGGCATTTCTTTTGAAATATTTGAAGAAGAAAGGAGGCTTTAAGATAGGTGAATGGAGATGGGACTGGGGTTGGGCTTGGAGAGGAGAAGCTGGGGAAGAGGAGAAGCCAAAAGAACCACGCCTAGCATAATAATGAGGTCACGGAGACAATTATTCGAGTTTGGAAATTACTATTATTTTTCAGTAAAGTGATGCTTTCGCTAGAAAAAGCTAAAACATGTTTAGAACATGTTAAACATGTTAAAGAATTTAGATAACGAATTTCTAAAGACACTTTGAAAAGATGACTTGATTGATGACTTTTTGCGCATATTTTCAATTTTTAATCAATATTTTGTACAGACAGTCGTCCATTCAAGTCGTCGTCCACACATCCAAGAATTAAAGGGAGTGAGAACAGTCGTCCAGTCGTCCACACATCCAGGAATTCAAGGGAGTGAGAAAAAAAAACAACCATATAAAGGGGATTCCATATAAGCCGGTTTCTACATAATTCCCTATCGATGTGGGGTCGGAAAATCTAGCTGACGATAAGATCTTGCAGGGGATTAGAGTGTTGAGCTTCTGTGAAAGCTTGGGAACTGTAAAATAATCACCTTTTATCTAAAATAATCACCTTAAAATAATTTTATGTAGCTCTAGAGGTTTTTAAAAAATAGACAAAAGCTAGGCAAAGTTGTAAACGGACAAAAACTAGGAAACAGCTTGCAAAGTCGGAAAGTTTTAGATAAAGGCCACGGACGGGCTAAGCCAGCAAAGCCAGCAAAGCCATGCTTGAGCTTGTCCTGGCTTTGCTTTACTTTATCTGGCTAATCTGAAATGCTGGTTTTGTACATTCAAGACTCTAGGTGGATTTTTAAAACCTATACCTATAACCTATACCTATACCTATCCCTATAACCTGTACTTAGACCCTATACCTATACCTATACCTATAACCTATACCTATAACCTATACCTATACCTATACCTATACCTATACCTATACCTATACCTATACCTATACCAATAACCTATACCAATAACCTATACCTATAACCTGTACCTATAACCTATACCTATAACCTATACCTATAACCTATACCTATACATATAACCTATACCTATAAAACTATAAAACGCCTATAAAGTCTATGACGGGGAAAAGCCTAGCGCTGAATTTCTTGGCTTTTCGTCACGCGGAAATGTAGCGTATAGGTGCGATTATCCCGTCATCACTTAAAGTCCCTTTGAATGGATCAGAGAAGGTGCAAATCCTGTACGAGTGGTGACGGAGTCAGTCGATCGTTCCTTCGGAGTCGCGTTGCATGAGAACGCAGCCTTAAGATAAAGTTAACTTTATCTTGTCAGTCTTGAGAGAAAGCGATAAAAAACGTGAGCCTTTAGACAATTAGGTTTAACTATAAAATTGACGAGTGAAAGCCAAGCACCCAAAATGTTAACAGACCAAAAGAATCCTTCGGAATTCGGAAATGAGTTTTGTGGCTTTGCAGAGAATTTCACCCCGAAAATGAGTGCTTTCTCCCTTTGGCCGTTCATCGTTTTTAGAAAGGGAAAAGAATAAAACGGGAAATTACCCTCTGCATTTTTTTTTGGCAAAACGAGAGAGGGAAAAAGAGCGAAATACTCTTGGGTGCTCTTGGCTTTCAATTTTATAGTTAAACCTCTAATCAACTGGTGCTCATTGCAAAGATGCTGTCGAGATTTTTTAAACATTCGATTGTAAAGATTGTTTTAGGATTTTCTAGAAAAATGAAGAACTGAAAACTGAAAATAAAACTTTAGATTGACATCGATTTTATCAAAATATCCATTTTAGAAACTTTAAAAGAAAGCTGAAATTCTTCTTAACGGCCGTAATTCTTCTTAACGGCTTCTTAACGGCCGTAATTCTTCTTAACGGCTTCTTAACGGCCGTAATTCTTCTTAACGGCTTCTTAACGGCCGTAATTCTTCTTAACGGCTTCTTAACGGCCGTAATTCTTCTTAACGGCTTCTTAACGGCCGTAATTCTTCTTAACGGCTTCTTAACGGCCGTAATTCTTCTTAACGGCTTCTTAACGGCCGTAATTCTTCTTAACGGCTTCTTAACGGCCGTAATTCTTCCTAAATTCTTCTCAAATTCTTCTTCTTAACGCTTTAGCGATTACCTCGACCGTGTAATACCTTTTAATATTATCGTAATTAATATTATCGTAATTCTTACCATCAAGCATGCTTTAGAGTCTATTTATAGCCAGATTACAATAGCTGGGAACGTCTACACGAATCAATACACGAAAAAGACTGTAAATGAAAAGATTGCAGTGAAAAGCAGCAAAAGTTAAGCAGAAAAATACTAGATTTTTAAGAAGGTTCGCTACTTTCAAAAAAGTTTATCTAATTTATCTAATATCTAATTTAGTTTTATCTAATTATCTTGACAATGGATTTTTATGGTTTTTAATTCATTTGAAAGCCTGTTTTCTTGCGAAATTTTGTTATTTAATAACAAAATGATGGATTTAGATGACTAAAATTGAATTTCGTGTTTTGCTTCTATTGGAAAAAAGGTTTGTCTGCAAGATCTGGTGCTGAAGTGATTTGTGAGGTGGAAGGCGAAGGAACTGTTGGCAAAACGGTTGCGATCGAGTGTTTCAAACGCTTCAATGACGATGATTTTGATCTTGAAGACAAGAAGTTGAAGTGAAGTTGAAGTGAAGTTGAAGTGAAGTTGAAGTTGACGTTGACGTTGCCGTTGACGTTGCCGTTGAAGTGAGGTTGACGTTGAGGTGAAGTTGAAGTGAAGTTAACGTTGAGGTTGACGTTGTAGTGAAGTTGAAGTGAGGTTAAAGTGAAGTTGAAGACGCATATCAAGAGTTCTTTGATTCAAATGAGCTTGGTACTTCGAGCAGATCCGAAATCTTGCTGATCGATGGCAAAAGGTCGTAGAGAATGACAGACTACGGCAAAAGATCGTAGAGAATGACAGACTATACTTTAAAGAGTGAACATTCTTATTTTTGTTGCTTATTTGTGAATAGAAATTGAATTTTTCTGTAAGTGACAAGCTTTTTAACAACCTTTTCAAAATATTTCAATGTTAATCGTTTTGATTCTTTCTAGAGGTATCTTTTTCTTTTGGATGTGTTTTGAGTGGTGTCCTTGGTGATTCTTCTGATCTTGTTTTGTCGCTATTCAACTCAATGTTTTGTAGTTTTTTTTTCAAAAACGCAGTGCAAAGCAGGGTTTCATTTTTTTTGATATCATTAATCTACTCTTCGAGAACTTGTTTGGATAAAGTTAATCAAAGAAAACCGTCAAGATAAGCTGTTTTAAAATGTCAAAAGATTTAAAGTTTTAAAAGTTTAACAGTTTTGACTCAGCAAAGTCGTTTAACATTTCATTTTGAATCAAAAAAGAGAAGGATCAAAATAAATAAAGAAATCAGAGCAAATCAAAGCAAATAAAGAAAGAAAGAGGGGATTTTCAAGGTAAATCATTTAGAAAACCATCTAAAAATCGTGCTTATCGAGAAATTTTTGAGGATTTTTGAGGATTTCTTTGCTAAACGAAAATCCGATGATGTAAATCGGCTGGAAGCGATAATCCGCTCAATTCCCGGGAGAATAAAATTGTTTTTTTTTTGGAGCTAATCTGTCCGTGGATTGACCAAATATTGAATAGAATGCGAAAATGAAAATTGGAAAAAATGGCGAACTGGACACGTGATTTTTCCTTTCCATTGACGGGTTTATTTGAGAAAATGAAATTTCTCGAAACTTTTATTTGTATTGTTTTTGTGGGGAATTTGTGGGGGAGAAGGAACCAAATTTGTAGAGAAAAGGAACCAAATTCGTGGGGGAAAAGGAACCAAACTTGTAGGGAAAAGCAATGTGTGACGTGTGTGTACTTTCAACGTTCGGTGACGATTGAGATTACATAAAAATTAGGGAACCATGGGAAATGGCATTTGCACTCTGATTTTCCTAAACGTGGGTTTACTTTGAGATATTCTTCTAGTTGGGCGCGTCCTTGGAGCTTAAATGACTCGGGGCTGGGCTCGCGTCGAATCTTGTGCGCAGTCCCGTTGAATCGTCGAATCTTGTGAGCCTTGTGAGCCTTGTGAGCGGGAGGTAGTCAAATGAGCGCCAACAATTGGGCGCCAATCATTTCAGCGCCAACGATTTGGCTCACGCTTATTTCAGCGCCACTCATTTGAGCGCCGTGCCAAAAATGACTGGAAAACAATCATTTGAGCGCCAAATTAAAAAGGCCTAAAAACGTTCATTTCAGCGCGACTAAATTTTAATATTTTTGCTTTCTACGCTGCTTTTGCATGTTTTTTAGGGTTTTGCTTCTGTTTTTACACTTTTTTTTCACTCATTTGACCTAGGGCACGGTAGTAGGCATCAAATGCGCGGAAAAAATTGTTAGATTAGCTCGTATTTAAGGTTTTTTTGATGAAAATGTGTAAATTTGCTAGTTGTATGATATTTTCCCCCAATAGCATGCTTTTTCACCGTTTCTACCTCCCTTGTGAGCCTTGTGAGCCTTGTGAGCCTTGTGAGCCTTGTGAGCCTTGTGAGCCTTGTGAGCCTTGTGAGCCTTGTGAGCCTTGTGAGCCTTGTGAGCCTTGTGAGCCTTGTGAGCCTTGTGAGCCTTGTGAGCCTTGTGAGCCTTGTGAGCCTTGTGAGCCTTGTGAGCCTTGTGAGCA